CTATGAAAATTAAATGACTGGAAATTAAAATTAATGTGAAAAGAGGTGACTTTCTAATGTTGCATATAATATACATTATAATCCTAATGTGCCATAGTTTATCACCTGTTAGTTTTAATATACTTCACCAACCGGGATTTTCCTTTCTTATCGCCCTCTTTATGGAATTCAACAAAATTGCATATGCAATTTCCGGGTTGAATAAGAAAAAGCGGATGCGTAACCAATCCAATTTTTAGCTTCGCATATATCACAGATAAGTGAATTTGAGGCAAGAAACCAAAGGAATTATCATCAACCCAGATTATTAGCACACAAATCGTCACTATGCACCTATGCATTGTCGTCTTTCCGCTTCGACCTCCAATAATGCAGACATTACATAACATTAGGGCAAAACATTGATAGCTGGAGCGTCGTTGCGTTTAGGTAACACGTACGGCTATGGAACGAGTACGCAACAAGTGTACAATAGCTAGTAGTGTTAAGTTGGCATCTTGTAGAAAAACCTACATAATTTTACAAAAAACCTATAGAGTCAAGAAACATGACATAATGTCACTTTTCAAGATACGTAATACCTCTGCTGGAATAACTGTTTAATATAAAACACCTATGTAGTTTAAATTACATGGCATTTGGATTCTTAAAAGGGGTGCCCAATCTGGCATTTACAATATGTTTTGGCTACAGATGTCAACTTGGATTAGTCATATTTCCAAAGATTTTTTTGCAGTCTTAATAGTACAATGATAGTTTTAAATTTCGTTCAGACGAACATGTGTATTTGACACCATGCCAATAAAGACTTGATTGACTTGATTTTTTGAGCTATCTGAGATTCTTTAAATTGAGAAATGCTTTTTTGCTTGTCGGCGTGAGCTTTCCTGAGCTACATCAGGTTTGACCAGCGTAGCTAAAGTGGTACTACCACATATACGTGAACAGTGTTCTAGGTTAGATCCTATAATGACTTCGTACAGTGTGGCAATGATAAACGAGGAAAAGTAATCCCTAGTTTCAAACAGATTGCCTAGATTCTATCCATCAGCTGGTTTGGTAAAAAGCTTAACCATCCACTCAAACCGAATATACTTTTGGATGGTACTTATAAGTTTAGATAAATATTGCGCAACCACAGTTGAGGCAACGCTGAAGAGGTGTTTAACAGTACTATCCATTTACCTAGACTTGTACTGCCTTAAAAAGTCTATCTCGATAATTGATTACGACGTCCTCAGCGCTGATCTCCACCCTCCTCCCTTCCTCCCTCCTCGCATCCAATCGTTTACATCCGTGATTCAGGCTATTCAGGGTGTATCAGACCACAACAGATGCTTCGCCGTATGAGATGATTAGCCAGGATGCGTAGATAGAGCAACTAAATACATTAATTATCTGTTGTAAGAGGTGAGAACCTGACTAGTGTGTGTACTAACAAATCGTATAAAGTCGTCGATCCATAGAAGCAACAAGGCTACATTCAGAGTTTTTTTAGACAGGCTCCTACACCCAATCAGAGAAGATCGAAATCTATGTCTCGTCGACATTTCATCATCGTGAGTAGTGTTGCGGTAAATATTCATAGATACCAAATATATTAGTCATCCTATTATTATAGGCGTACACATGGGTTCCATGGTGAGCTTTGATCATCGTGTAGCATCGATCATCCTCCACACTATCGGATTGATCGATGAAAGGTGACAAAGAAAGAATCAGTATGTCGCGCAAAGAAAGTAACCGTATGTCGCGTCCTGCTATCATTCACATGAGGTGAACTTATTTCTGAAAATTGAGGACAAACAATGTTATCATTGACAATTTTGTGTAATAAAAGTAAATTAAATTCCAGCCTGCTTCGCTCAAGAGAAGTCATATTCAGGTAGAAAAGGGTATCAGCCTAAATATACTATTTCCTAATGAAACACATTTCATGCCATAAATTCTCATCTTTTTTTCTGCGCACGCTCTAATTGGTTGATATGTAACTTGTAACTTGGGGACCAGATGGAACAGCAATACTCAAGTAGCGAACGAACCAAATAAAATTTTGAAGGAAAAAATGTCATACTATCTCGCAAAGCACTATAAGTAAACAAGATATCGACTGAAAAATTTGGATTATTTGCAGAAAATGATATATACTCAACCAATGATATACGCCGATTTGCCAGTCCAATTCATTTTGTGTAGTGGTTAACAGGAAAACATGCAGATAGGGGTGAGTGTGACAAAAGGGTTGTTCGCGTTTCGTGCCGACAAGTTAATTAACGTTGGTGTTGAGCGAATACAGGAAGAGTGGAGATTAACCGACGGTGGCGAAATGAAGGGTGTTTTTCGATAGTATGAGACAACGGTGTCAGTAAAGTGTAGAGCCTGAATCCGCTATCACCAACGAGTTCTAATAGCTTAGAAGGAGCCAAGCCGTATTGCATGGTTTATCCCCGAATTCGCGTAGCTTTATTGCACACTTATGACTAATTTCTCTACCAATGCCTACCAAAGTGACAGCATTGTATCATAATAATAATATTTACACGTGGAAACATCTACCTTCATTAGGCTTGTACGGCTCTTTGCAGACTATGTATGAAGTATCATGTCGTGAAATCGTCTAACTCCACAACTATCTGGAAACAGTTGCATTTTCAAGAAATAACACTATACATTAAAATTGACATAACTGTCAAAAATTGACGTCCCGTGCAGTTTGATCCACACTACAGACTATGATAATTAGGAGACAAACATATCCGTGACTGACACCTTCAACCTAGTCTAAATTGGTTGGTTATCACTATGTTGTGTAATCTAATGTGTTGCAATATTTTCATTTACCTTGATATCCGATTCACAAACAAGTTAGCTTGTAACTCATAAACCATCCTTAAGAACTACATCAAGAAAAAGCTTGCGGAAGGGGCACTGAGAAAATGTGAAAACAGACAAGGTGTACTATTTGAAAGTTTTGAGAAATTCGTACGCTTGACCACCATATACTTGTAGACAAATTATTAAGGAGACTGAGACAGTAACTGAATAGGAATAAAATTTGGGATACTGATTTTTTTCTGAGAAAAAGTTCATTATTTTAGACATAATGATGCGTGTCTTTAAATTTGATTGCTTTTACTTCGCACCAGTAGGTGTGTGTATCACAATTTTTTGATGTTATTATACTAATGCACTTCAAACCCCGGTAATTTTACGCACCTATTAGGTATACTTCACCCATTATAGACTTATAACAGGAATTTTACGGCCCGATTTTACTAAGCCGGTGCACAAAAAAGGACGTCAGTTACGACCAGTCGGTCAACCAATGAGAAGGCATCTTTGAAGTAAATGATCTAATCGATATGATCGATTTCTGTAAAATGTCTCTCAAACTAGAGATTAGTTATTCTGTTTGAGTAAGATGGGCCCCAAATTCCTATATTAAATCAAGAAAAGCGTCATAAGTCACTGGGCTTAGATACAAACATTTATTTTTTAATTTGCGTCCACACACTAAGTCAGCGGCCATGATCATATAATGCAACAATGAAAAATAAGCATTCGTGCCATACTGGAAGCGTGGATACAAATCTGATACAATATCTCCATTGACATGACAGCAATTAAATTTCCATTTAATTGAAAACAACAGTGTCTATCGCTTGCTGTAAAAAATTCTGCTTATAAGTTCTTTGAGGATTTAAAATTACAGAATGTTGATTCTTTCTTGAGTTAATATTAAATTTTCTGGACTACCGCGCGAAAAACCCTGTTGCTTAAACCAGTTAACAGAAAGCTATCGTGCCACCTACTGGCAGCAGGACAACGACTTCTAGCCTCGCCACCGCCAGCGCGACGCGCAGCGTGGTCGTGTAGTCATTCTAGCACCCAGAGAGGACGCGACATCTTCCTGTTAACAGTAAGTAAGTAAATTGATTATTTACTGGATGCTAGTTGAAGAATGAGCATTCTGTAATTTAATTTATGTCGTCAATGAATCTATTAGGCAGAATTTTGTACAGCGAGTGAGATACTGTGATTTTCAATAGAAAATCTATTGTATCAGGTTTGATCCATGTTTTGAGTAGGCCACCAATCCTTTTTAATCTATAAAATTTGCTTCAAGTTTTGTGTACACACACAAATAAAAGATCGTTATTTTTAAATGAATCAGCCCATCTCACACAAATCGTATGAGTTGTATTTGGTTTGAGACGTATTTTACAAAGAATAGACCAAATTCATTAGATTCATTACTTCCGCCTTCTTATTGGTCCAATTTGTGCCAAGGGCAAACTTGAGACAGAGGAGGTTCATTACCGTAAAATATTTCCATTCGGAAAAGTTATTTTTTAATGTCTAATTCACTTTATTATCGGCTAAGTGCCTGTTTTTGAAAATGTTTTTCTTTTTTTTTATTTATTTAATTCCCGTCAAAGATTACTTAGGGACTTCTTTTAAATTTCGACGTGCCCTCAACGGTATTATTCACACATTTGCTCATCTACCACTTTATATACCGTGCAGATCATTCACGATTGAGGTCGGGTGGGTTCCAGTGTACGAAAGAGATGCTAGAGAAGCCTGCAACACATATGTTAGAAAGAGTTAGAAAGGGTGTGTTCGCACGGACTTTTACGATGCCTGCAACAACAGCGAAAAGGGCCACTGGGCACTCTTTCTAACTCTTTCTAGCATTTGTATTGCACGCTTCTATCTCGTAAGCATTCAAAACTCTACCGAATTCAACCTTTAATAATTCGCACGGTATATTAAAAATACTTAGAAGCACAGCTTTGAAAAAATGTCATTCGAAGGCTTCTCCCGAATTTTGTCTAAACCCTGCAGTTGTGACATAGACTTCACGCACTTAGTTGCAGCATATTTTGCCTTAAGTAACTGGTTATAAGATCTGACGACGATTTTTAATTGCCAAGTACCTAATAGAAAAAAGATTGTATCGCCTTTTAGACAATACTATAAAATTATATAAAATATAGTATGTTTTACTCCAACATTCTTTATTAAACAGATTAAAACATCGCCACATAATATAAAAAACATGATATATAAACCTGCATTCATTTGTTATACAACAGCTTGCATTCTAATACACAGCCAAAATACAGTTCACTAGAAACATGCAGTGCTACATTGAATCACTAGCTTCGTTTAGATTTTTTCACTTTCTTAGGTTCTCCGCCAGTCATTTTACTAAAGATGAACTTCACCGTCCTATACAAAGCGAAAATAACCAGACTGATAGCTGATAATAGAACAAGTATCACATCAACAAGCAGATACTCGAACCACGTTACGTCAGCCGTGGGACTTCTCAGATGCCTTGTTCCCTTGTGCCGGATTACGTATTCTATCCACCACACGGCCCTATCGAGAGCTTTCATTGGCTGGTCTGACCATATTTTTTGTAGCCTCAACACATTTTCTTTATATCTGAAACATAAACATAAAATGTGAACATATTCAAGTCCCTATTGATTATCATAGGAGTCCGTGGGACTTTAGTTCTTCTGCTACATAGCTTATAGCGTTGTCAAGTGCGATCACCGGAAATTAGAAAATAAATATGAAAGAAAATGGAGAAACGGCACAGCAAATAAAAGGAAGAGTCAACCTTGAGGGTAGGAAGCTATTTCGCTCTATTGAAATGATTTGACAATAGTGGCATGGTGTGAAAGGGATCTTCCCTCAAACTTTATTAGATTGTTTCTTTCTTGACTCAAGCCATAGGGTTTTGTATTGTCAGCTTGCGATGTTACTCAGAAACCTACAGACTTCAACCTTGACGATCTATCTGATTTTAAATTTGCACAGATTAATGAGTTAAACTCTCGAAAATTATTTTAGTATTTAGAAACCCCCTCATTTGCAATCAAAAAATAGTATATATATAAAATATATATCAACGCTGCGGGGAATTAATGCACATTCTGGTTACCATAGCGCACCCTCAAAAAAATGGCAGCGGACAATGACATAGTTCAGCCATGTTATCCTTGAATAGCATGGAATTTAAACGTTTAATGTTGTCTAATTTTTATCCATTTTGAGATTGGGAGGCTTTAATGACTTTATTTTCAGATAACTACTTGTAATCTTAGGTCTATGACTATAGTAATTGCATTATGCACCACGGAGATGTAGGGATTGACTCGTTTTAAATATATGGGTGTTTTAGGATGAAGGAGAGGGTATGCTGTTTTAATTACTATAATGAAATTGATTAACCCTAAATAAATGATTACTATTATGATGTAACGAAACATGAGGAGTTGGCTGGAATACATTTAATTTTCTATTGTCTTGCAAAATACAGACAAATCCGCACATCTCAACAGGTATGTAACTATAATGATAACGTAAACACTCAGTATGTACATCTAAGCAAATTCGAGATTGCTATGCATTAACAAACGTCTAAATAAGCTATTAAATTCAATTACTAGAATATCGACCTATTATTTGTCGCACAAAGCAAAATACATAAAGGTTGTCCTGTTTTCTCTGTACATCATGTTGGAGTCAAAAAGTGCTCTTGTTTATTATACAATCGATTTTTCATGATGTTATTCAATATTTCAATTGAAATCACAGATATTCAGAGAGCTTTGACAGCTTCCGTCAAATTGCATTTCGATAAGGCCTTTTCCCATTGGCCCAAACTGACGGTCAAATATCAATGACGGTGAAATTGGCCCTTAAGCAACTATCGAATTTATTTTTTCTATTTTATTAGACCTTTTTGCACAGACGCCCAAGTTTTGATGTCCCGCAAGACTGATTTTTAGGTTAAAACCTGATGGAAGATCTTACAATTCCGACATCGAAGGTTTCTGATTGCGTACATTTGGCATTCAAAGTCGCCTTGTTAAAAAGATCGTGAATCGAAATGTTTATGAAATCAGCACTTTGCAATTTTATTATTACCGAAATCTTTATAACTTACTTGGGATTTTTGATAACCTGCAGTAAAGCATTCTTGACTTCTTCTTTGGTCAATGTTGTGTGGTCGAGCCTAACAGCGGCACCTTCTTCAACTAGTCGCCTGATATTCCAAGCTTGGTCTGATATGAAAGGCATGCCCACCATAGGTACACCTCTGGATATTGCTTCCTCTGTGGACTGCAATCCAGTTTGGGTGAAGAAGACCTTCACATTAGGATGAGCTAAGAATGAAGAATTCAATTCATATTCTGTCCATACTTCGTTTCCATACTCTTACTCAATAAATACCTCACCCAGTACTCATGCTAATAATACCAACAAGAGACATCCAAAATATAACAACTTTACCTAAAACATCTTGTTGGGGTATCCACTTCCTAATTTCGACGTTTTTCGGTTTACCAGGCAACTTATCGTCCTCAAATTTCCAGAGTACTTGGTAAGGCAATTCAGAGAATGCTTCCATTAACACCTTTCTCAAATTCTCTGTTAGCCCAGCACTTAGCACGTTTGAACCGAGACTGAAGTATATTACTCCTAAAATAGAAAACAATAACTGCTTTAATACCTAATGTTTTGCAGATACTAGCTTAAGTAGCTAAGGCCCTTTCAGAAACAACAAAAGTATGCATCTCGCGACTCAGATTTGGAAAATCCTTGATGACATTCGATTTCTAAAAATTTTGAAAATCTATTCAGACATTCTGAAAAAACCTAAACTAATCGTCTACCTTGCTTAGCATTGTCCAAAAACTGCTTCAAATCTGCTGGTAGTGGTTTGACAGGCTTCACATGCAGCATCTCGAGGTCTATTATGGTTGGAACATTGGGTCTTCGTTCATACAGAATAGGGTTTGATAGTAACAGAAGGCTCATGTTTCTTTCTATGTCTCCGATGTAGGGCAAATCGTGACCCAAGTACTTTTTGGCTATCTGGTCGCATTTTGGTAGGGCGTGGAAGGTCCAGTAGTATCTGCAAGAAAACACTTATCAGTGATTTACAATACCAAACCAAATTTTCTAACAAGTAACAAGGCATCTCTGTTTTTCCTAGTAGAATGCCAGCTCAGGCTTAGTGTTTTTGTTATTATTCTATTAGATGATAGATACATTGGGATTCAAATTTGGGCGAGTTCAATGTGTACGATTGAGAAGCGCGAGAAGTCTGTATAGGCACATAAGCTGTATAGAAGCCACGTAGCCTAGCAACGCTCACGCGTCAATCTGCCGCGTTATCAATATGTTACACCAGTTCCTTGAACGAGGATGCATATTGAAAGTATGCGTTTGTTTATTCTTTGCGCCAAAATAATGGTTTTACTTTGAGCGTACACTTTTTTGAATTGTGAACTGTGTCGAATCTGCTTGGGATTGATTCCCCATCGGTCCTAGCGGCGCTACATTTTAGATCGAAATAAAAGGTCAGAATCGTCATGAATTCTGCAACATTGCATCACTGGTTCATTTGCCAACACCGCATCTTGTACCCTCCAACTGTGTTAAGTTATGGAGTACCAGAAAGTATCAGATATCATCAATCATCCCCAAACTGTATTAACTCGGTCTCCAAAATCCTCACGATCGAACTTGCAGCAAAATATTAGCTACATATACATTGTTTAGAAATATCAAATATATAAATCTTGTAAGTGTTATGTAAGTCCTGAAACATGTTTTCTTCTCAATATCGCTTGAGCAGCTACAAAAGATTTACAATTGAGCGACGAATAATTTGGTTGATGGTTGATGGTTTTTGAAAATACTGTGGTTCGGTGCTCAATTGGGAGAAAAAGTTTCATTCTAAGGGCAAATTGGAAAAGGTTATCTTTTATAAATATACAATTTAGGTGTTCATTTCCAGACTTGCAAGAGCATACTTCATTGATCTTTTCCGTTGATTGAATCAATTGAATTGCGTAAATGGCACGTGTCAAATACGCTGTCCACTTCGAAAAGAATAGTATTTCTTGTGGAAATCGAAGTAAATCACAATCCACACAGTCAGTTTATCTGGTGAAGAAGGCCATAAGCCACTCATTACAATGTTTATCTTCGACAAGTAGTAAAGATACCTGCGGTCTACGATAGTCATTCTGAATGAGGCTTGTAATAAATTCTTGTAAAGCGGTAGTAGTCTGAAACCATAGTATGAAAATACTCGTAATATGAAAAATAGTTTCCTTACATTGTCTACATGAAATCCAAGACCACTCTCCTACCCTGTGTCGCTAAAACACGCATGTTTTTATCAGCAAACAATTACCGTTTGCCGCTCATATTGATATGTGTGTGGCCTTTCGGCGTCAAAAATACCCTCCAGAAATTTCAGCGACATCTATCAGCTAACTACCAAACAAATGAATTTTTGGCATGGCGGTACAATAAGCCCCTTGTTCTAAGTCTTCGAAATCGAAATGTTAGTTTCTACTTATTTCCTTAATTTTTATAGAAAACAATACGGACAACGCACGTAGATACCTTTTATTTTCCTTACCTGCACCAGAGATAATATAAGGTACTTTTGAATTGTTCTACACCTACAAATGTCATATTTCCGTGATAAGGCAAAAATATCTCCGAATATAAGTTATTCGGATGGGGATTACCCATCGCATAATATGTCCCAATAAAAGCCCCAAATGAAGAAATACCCGCAAACGGAGCTTTCAGTTTTTCAGCAACTACATACAAAGTTGGTGCTATATAGGGCTGGATCAAAACTATATCATACTTTGACACACTATTATTGTATATGTATGTGAACTGCTTGTTGCATAAAGTGTTTTCATAGTTCAATTCAAATGTGGTACGGATCTTCACTATGACATGCTTATACAGGGTGTTCCATAATTATTGCGACAAAATGATAGGGGTTGTAGAGGGCATCAAAATGAACAATTTTGCCTTATAAACCCCTGTTCGGAAATATGCCGTTTGGGCTGCAGCAACAAAAAAAAGATCAGTTTCTTGAAACAGCTTACCTACAGTAATTGCTCAAAGTGTCCTCCACCTTGCTCAATACACAGCTGTGCACGATTGTTCAATGGTCGGCGAACTCTGTGGCATACCCCCGGTATATCCTGAATATGTGCGGACGCGGCCATCACTCTTCCCAGTAGCTCTTGTTGGTTGGGAACAGGAGTTTCGTACACTAAAGCTTTCAGATGGTTCCAGAGAAAATGATTCAGTGGAGTCAGGTCGGGTGACCGAGCAGGCCAAGGCACAGGGCCACCTCGGCCTATCCACCTATTTGGAAATTTGTCGTCCAAATACTGCCGCACTTGTAAAGAAAAGTGGGCTGGAGCGCCATCGTGTTGAAACCACATGTTGGCTCTTATGTTCAGTTGCACATTTTCTAATAGTTTCGGTAGCACATGCTGTAAGAATCGACCATAAGCATGCCCATCCAAACGTGGTGGAAACAAATATGGCCCGATGATATGCTCGTCCACAATACCGCACCAGATCTTAATTGAAAACTGATGTTGGTCTCTAAGGATGGCTATGGCATGAGGGTTTTCTTCATCCCAAATGTGACTGTTACGGCTATTAAAATAACCGTCCTTTGTAAAACAGGACTCGTCAGTGAACAAAACGTAGCGACCAAAGTTTGGTTGCCTCAACTCCTGTTGCAGCCACCAACGACAAAAACGTCGACGCGGCAGATAGTCTTCTGGACCCATGGCTTGGACTCTTAAAAGGTGGTATCGGTGTAGTTGCTGGTCATGGAGAACCCGCCAAACAGTAGTTTGAGACGCTCCCATATCATGTGCAATAGCACGCACGCTTGTACGCGGATTGGCAGAATCGCTTCCTCAAATTCTACTGTGCGCCTCGTGAAGGGCCGCCCTGCTCCCGCGAGGTGTCTGATGCTGCCACTGACACGAAGACGTCCATGAATCCTTGCAAAAATGGCGTGATGCGGATGAGGACGTTCTGGAAACCGTTGGGCGGAGATTCGCAAGGCTCCGTTACCACCAGCTTCTCCGTAAATTAAATGCATATCCGCAAGTTCCGCATACGAATAACGCTGCATTTTAACACTAAGGTACTGTTATTTACTATCTAGTTTGACGCACCACTCAGATAATTTAAATGAATCGGTGTGGAGAATTTACGATAACAAAAATGTGAACACAGTAGGCTTTTTTTACAAACCGGCGAGACCATGAAATGTGCTAGATGAACATTTTGCAGCTGGTGGATTTTTTGTTTCTCCTATGAGCTCTTAAGGTAAAATTAGCGGTAGTGCTCAAACGGCATATTTACGAACAGGGGTTTATAAGGCAAAATTGCATATTTTTATGCCCTCTACAACCCCTATCATTTTGTCGCAATAATTATGGAACACCCTGTATATGTAATACTGCGAATTTAGCTTCTTTAGCTTAGGGTCATTTATTGGCCTTGTAGTCACCACGGTAACCTGATGTTCCCTCAACGATAGCTCTCTGAAGATGGGTTGGAAAATCACATGGTGACTATATGATGACATGTGGAAGTAGTTAGGATACGAGCACAGTCCAAAGTGGTCCATAGCAAAGCAAGTATAAGAAATGCTTTCATGTTCAGTTCACTGAATAACCGACATATGACTGACTTCGTTCACTGTCGCTTAGTATTAAGTAACGGGTCACAGCTACAGTGCAATTTATCTTATCAACAAAGCATAGTGATTTCAACGAATAATTAGACTAGATAATTATTATTACACTCATTAGGATATGACTATTGGAAAGGACTGAAATCACTATCTTTCTAGTTTAGTGTATGTAAATCTGCAGTATGATGCCATCTCGTAACATTTAAAAAGAAAATCGTGCAGGGTGGTGGTCCGCAAACGCTACCTTACTGAAGTTGCAAGCTACTGTATTGTTGTTGAATATTTTCTTAACGATTGTTAGGTATTCCTATCTATGTATTTGTTTACTGTCATCAATTAATAATAATAATAATCCGGCTATATTTATACAAAGTATGCAAAAAAGCGTTTTTCAACTTAACCAAACAAATATTTGTCTAAATTTTCTAATCCCAATGAAAACAAAAAGTTCAAAAAAAACCTGTAACGAGTCCCTATTCATGGCCATGGTCTACTTAATGAAATGAAATTAGAGATAAAATGCTTCAATCTTTTTTTGAAATTCCTTATACAGGGTGACTTTGAAGTTGAGTCATTAATTTTCAGATAATGATTGTAGAAGGAAGATAAACCAAAATATGTGTGTAAAAATAAAAAAAAAATAAAAAAAATTTTTTACCTTGTTTTATAAAGTATCCTCCCGACAAGTATTTCAGTGCGGACCTGTATTTGATCGTGAGGTCCCCTGTGAGGTCTTAAGTCACCTGATTCACAAGACCGTTGTACTACATTAACAAAGGCACGAGGGGTTGGTTGCACTCGATTGGGAAACCGATCCGCATAAACATGTGCCATTTTTTATTTCGTTTGAGCCACGCAACACATACCACTATTCACTGACACTAACTGTATACAAATGAATGAGATACCTGTAAAAACATCGTTCCAAATTCTTTCGCTTTTTTGTTTCCGATGCGATGAACCGATACGGCGGATTATATCCATTGTCGCCAAACACGACCACATAATATTGTTATTGAGACAGGGCGGTACTCAAACTTCCAAAGGGCTATAACTTTGTTACTTTAATTTTACCAGGAAAATGGTAAAGGAAAAAAACATTTCTTTTGATCAGATCTACTCACTGTTAAAATAAATGACTCAACTTCGAAGTCACCCTGTATAATAGTGAGTGAACTCGGTAGGCAACGCGTTATATAGCTTGATAGCAGTATATATGTACGGCCTTTTAAATAGAGACGTTGAATGTCTCTGGATAACCAAGATATGCTTATTCTTTTTGTTCAGTTGATTAACATCTGAGTATCTGATAAATTTGGTTGATAGATATGGAGGGGCTTGTGTTGTGATTACCTTATGGGTCAAGATCAATACGTGCATTTTTGTATAGCTCTTCTATTTCTTGAACACCTAGCTCACGATATTTATGTGATACTGTCTCAAATTTTCTCACTCCACAAGCAAATCTGAGACACGCATTTTGAATAGTCTGAAGTCTCCTTATCTCAATCGATCTTAGTGCAGGCCCACAAATACAGTCATGGTAGTATATTCTAGACCATATTAAGGTTTCGCACAACTTCAGCTTGCGATCAGTATTCGTACTTTTCCTATGAGGAAATAATTGCTTCAAGACACTGAATGATGTTCGGCACAGTTGACTAACGTGTCTTTCAAACCTCAAATCAGAATTAATCCAGAGTCCTAAATTCTTGCACTCATTTCTTATAGGGATCGGTTGATCTGAAATGCTCAATCATAGTAACGGTTTTGCCTTTTTTTTGATTTTTGGTCCAAATATAACTGCGGATGATTTTAACGGGTTAATTTTGTGATTATGGGCACAAGATACGTTAGATAAATTTATTAAATCATTATTAATCTAATGTTCGGCATTTCTTAAATCTCTAATATCAAAGCCAAGGTACAATTGAGTGTCGACAGCATAGTGATGATGTTCAACGTACTCGTGGAAGTCAGAAATTTAAATTGAGAACAATAATGGTCCCAGCATGGAACCCTGTGGTACCCCTAGATTAACTTGTATCTCCTCCAAAATACGTGACGCCATCACAACCATCTGACTCCTGTCAGTGAAATAACTTAATACAAAATTAATTGCCGATTCCTAAAAACCAAAGTATATAAGGCTAAGTTGAAAAACGCTAATCTTAGCGACACTTCGCCTTTTTTGTACTTTTACTTAAGTACGAAATAAAGCCCATTTATTATTATTATTATTGTTATTATTATAAGCTTTTTCACAAGAATAGATGGTTCCAGAGTATCAAAAGCCTTTGTATGATCAAGTAACACTAAGCATGCTATATTTCCTTGATCTACACATCTGAGTAAGTCATCCGTGATGCTCGCCAGAACTGTTGTTGTGCTGTGGTTTTTCCTGAAACCCGATTGGATTTCAGGAATGATACCATTAGCATTAGAGAAGACGTAGTCAGATACCTGATGTTTCATGGCTAGTTCTAATAACTTGGAAAATGCTGCTAGTGTATTTATCGGCCTCAGATGTAAAATATCTCTAGGGTTACTTACTTTAGCTAGGGGGAGAACATTTGCTTTTCTCCAACAGTTGGGGAAGTTTGATGATGCAATTGCATAGCTGATGATGAACGTTATATTTTCAATTAGCAAATCGAATATTTAGGTTGATTGCGTCAACACCCAAGGCGTTAATTTTGATACTCCGGAAGTTTTTTTTTTAACTCAGACTTAACAATGGTAGGTAAACTAGAAAAATACTTATTTATGTCATTAACGTCCTGCAGATGGCCATGTAACTCAAGTTCCTGCTGAGTCTCCGAAGACAGCTCCAGGTAGCTTTAGAATCTATTTTTGACAGAATGAACTTCATATAGGCTTTTTTCGCCCTACTGATAGCCTTCGCAACTTAATTGCACATTTCTTTACAGAAAACCCACTTGCCTACCGATTTATTCTGCTTGTACTTATTATATGCCTTATCTCTAGATTTCATCATTTCTTTTATATTCATATCTCCTGTAATAAAGTCTACATGCATGTTGGTAATACACTTATTATTATTTTCATTATTATCATTACTTCCACCCCTAGACTCCTACACGTCCAATTTTTCACCACTAAGATTTTTTTCAAAAATGATCAGGACCCTCTGAAACGTCGAAGTTTAGGCGATTTATATTTTCTTTGTTTTTTCGATTTTTCTCCGCCGTCATTAATTAAAGGTTTTTACATCCTTGCCATGGTAGTAGTAACCTTGTGTGAAAATTTCATCAAGATATAAGCAGTATTTCTCAAGTTACATACTAGCAGAGAGGACCGACTGAAAGGGGCGAAAATTGTTCATAGCTTACTTAGATCTAGGTTTTTTGAATGGTATGTGTCTGTAATATGCTATAACAAAATAATATGTATAGAACAAAGTCAAGACCTACTAGTACTATATTAATACACTCTATGATAATACGTAGCTATAAGGTATAAGGTATAAGGACATTTTGTGTAGTTATGAATTTTCGATTTATTATTTAAAATATATATCATGTGTTATATATTTCTGTAAAGCTTATAAAATTTTGAATTAAAAAAAAACATGAAGGATGTCCCATTAAAAGAAAACCGAAGTTTGATTCATAGCTAAAAAGAGATACCTCATAAGAAAATTGACTTAGCTTTGCGATGTATTAAAGGCTGACGGAGATACAAAATCCAATGTCTTTGTGTATCTCAGAAATGAAGCAGGTTATGAATATCTTGTTTATACCATCTCTGTTTTCACAGAAAAGTTGCAACTCTTTACTATCTTTACTAGTAGGTGAGATACGCCGTAATATAACCAGAAATGGGACACGCCGTACATCTCATATAACATCAAAAAAAAAAATACATCTTATATACCTTCTCCCCCAGTGGACGTATTAAGAAAAATCATTTTTTATTTTTTTTTCTGAAGGTGTGAGAGAATCAGAGTGGCAGATATACAAAGAGATTATTTTTCAGACTCTAAATTAAGCCATTGTTGTGGCAGAACCTAGTACCTCATAGTAAAATATAGGCTGTTAGTTAATGTTAGGTCGTGATTACCAGGGGCCAAGCCTTAACCAAATTCAAGTAGAAAAGTTCCAAAAGAAAATTGGTGTGCCGATTATGTTGAACTTTGGCATCGTTCATTGCAATAAAACATCACGTTTGTCTTGTGGGACAGTCTCACGAATAATATCCACAAAAAGATGTACGTCACTGACTATTTGAAAGAATATATATTTGTTCGGTTTGAGCTGATGATGCAACTGCCTTGTATCTTGATATATCAGCGTTCGTTTTAGAGGAAAAAGTAAACACAGCGTCAATACATGTCAACAAGGTAAGGTCAAATCAACTTTGAACGTTGCTGGGGAATTACTTTTTCTGTGCTATGAGCACATTTTTGACTTTCTGTGACAGTTTGATATCACTTTCCCTCACACAAAAACTTTTTCTCAAAGTTTGACACACTGTATCTTGGGAACCAGTATTTTTATGACACAAATTCATTTCATATGGACTTCTTTACGGCCTATCATTAAGTAATACCATATAAATCATCATAGAATCAACAACCTAGCACATTTTTATTTACATAAATAAATTTCTTAAAACATGTAATTATTTGTACGTCAATTTTGAATTTATTATTTGCTCATCCCATGACCATTCATCAATTTCCTGATTGACGACTATTTTCGGAATGGTTCGCTGGATGAACTATTTCGTATTTTTTATATAAGAAAATGAAGCCAACTCACTCCTTTCATTGCACAGACACATAGTATCACTTACCTATGCCAAAGATAGAACAAGGTGCTCCTGAGCCTCTCAGAAAATGTCATCCTCCCATGATACGGCAAATATATGTCCGAATACAGACTTGGTGGATGCGGGTTCCCCATTGCATAGTAACTAGGGAAGAAAGCTCCAAATGATGAAATCCCTACGAAGGGAAGCTTAAGCTTGGCAGCAATAGCAAAAAGTGTTGGGGGCATATAAGGCTGGACTAACACCAAATCAAACTTCGAGGCACTGTTATTGTACACACCGATCACCCGTTTGTCACTCAGTAGAACTTCTGCTATCTCATAGTTCACTTCAACTACCTTCTGCACTTTCACGTGTATTGGTTGGTCTTTTTCAATGTAGTGCATGAGTCGCATCTTCTTTGGTATATCCAAATTCAATGCACTTACATCTATCTCTGTGAGGTTTTTCAATGTAGGGTCATTTAAGGGATGAGAAGTGATCACTGTGACCTGATGTCCTCTTAAAGAAAGTTCTCTCCAAATGGGCTGGAATACCACCTGGTGACTATAGGACGGCATATGGAAAATGGCTAGGATGTTAGCGCAGTCTATTACTGTCCATAGTAGCGGAAAAATTAGGAGCGCCTTCATCTTGGTTAGATACACTATGCGGTCACTGTCCGACTGAGATAATCCTTGTTATTGTTGAAACTATTTATGGGATATTGTGCCTTATCTTACCAGTAATGTGGTTATCTCGACGCGACTTGGTAATCTGTGAGATAAAAATAGGATTAGCCCAGGACAATTAGTAAAAATGAACCTTGCGAAATACATGGAATATGAACCGCCACGCGTTTATAGTGTTTTATACTTTTGAGATGGACGATATCGTTCGACTATCTATGATATCTAGTGATCACGACTTTCGAATAACGATGAGATTTATTTATTTATTTATTCCCTTATTTATTTATTTACTAGTATTTTGAGTCCCCTTTTATTTGCTCTTTATATATGTGATTTTCATGAAACCGCCAGCTACTCAATCGTTCATCATTACGCCGATGATACCCAACTTTATAACTGCTTCGATCCTGATGAATATATGCTTGGCCAACATCAAATCAATCAAGATCTGCAGTCTATTTTTGACATATCTAGTGCTCACAATCTAAAACTAAATCCTGGCAAATCATGCTGCATTTTATTTGGGCCCAAAAAGAATCGTGAAATAAATCAATATCGTATTAATATTATGGTGAATAATGAAGACATATTCTTCGTAAACGAATGCAAAAACCTTGGTATCTGGTTTGACTGCAAGCTACGCTTCACTAAACATGTTAACCAAGTATGCAATGCGTCCTATAATGTGCTTCGTCAGTTATACCCGAGTCGAAGTGTCCTGTCGACACAGCTCAAGCTTAAACTCTGCGAGTACCTTATCCTGTCAAAATTATCTTACGGTGACTCTGTTTATGGACCTGCTCTTTTACAACGTGATGCCGAGCAGATTCAGATGATACAAAACTCATGCATCAGATTTTCTTATGGAATCCGTAAATTTGATCATATTAGTAGCGCTTTTGGCCAATCGGGATGGCTTAAGATGAACAAATTGAGGAAACTGCATTGCCTATCTCTGGTACATAAGACCCTTATTCTTAAAGCGCCATATTATCTTTATACAAAACTAAGCCTCCTCTGCCAGTACGATCGAAGATCCTGTAGGAATAAACTCATCTTACTTATCCCGCGGCATTCGACAGCATTGTTCACACGCAGTTTCTCGTACTGGGCACCCAAACTATATAACTGCTTATCAAGTGAGTATAAAGAATATAGCCTAAGCAATTTTAAAAAAAGGTTAAAGATGAGTTTAAAGCAGTCGGATGGCTAAAATTTTACTTTATGCATATCCACAGGTAATTGATTGTTTCCTTTCTCTGATAAGTGTTATATTCTAAGTTCTTTTTCTCTCTCTCTCTATAGTTTGTGTCAATGTTTTCCAGGTCGGGTTGAAAAACAGCATAAGCTGACACCTCCACCTTTTCGTCACTGTTCCTTTTAACCCAATTATTTTGTAATCGTGTGACGAATAAAGGCCATTTATTATTATTATTATTATACGTATACACTATCCGAACGGATTATTACACCATTTAACGGATAGGAACAGAGGAATCAATTTTAAGACAAAATTGTTCAAAAATAACTTAAAATTGCAAAATGACTTAACCTACTGTTATGTAAAATCTGTTTAAGCTGCGAAAATTACAAAAGAACAAGTCTACTGCGTTGCTTGCAGGTTCATAGTTGTTACATACTACATATATCGGAGAGGAAAGCAACGCATTGTTTCTAGCTACGTTTGAGTAAAAGTATTTTGAACTGGATCGCGTCTTAGCATTAGGCACGTGAATAAGAATCTTCCCAAGTGAATATTCACAATCTATGGCATTATTAACCCGACAGCGGTCGCACCCCCAAAGTATATCAATCAGGTCGCTGCGGGTCATAGTAACCCGCTAATGTTAGGCCCTATAAATTTAGTATAAACAATAAAATTGCTTGATTATTTTTTTAAAGATTTTATTTGCGAAGGTAACTAAAGCATATAACTTAACATTGGTATAGAGAAACCTTAAAATCTAAAAGTTAGGTATCTTTCAAAAAAACAGCTAAAAAAAGGTTTTTTTGCATTGGTCAACTATTTTTCATTTCTAAAAAAAAATCCTACTTTAAATAATGAAAAACATAAATCTATTTTTTCTGCTAATACTAAATTAAAATTTATAACAAAAAAATATCTCTGAAACCATTTATAAACTGTATTTATTGCGTGCCCATTTCTAAGGAGTATTTTTCAGACAATTCAGGCATGTAAGTTTGCCATGATTTCCACAGATATATTTTGCAAATCGCACAAGTGTGATAAGATTTGTTACCAGTACTCGCACATAATTTACATATCTTCCTTTTTCTTGAATCTTGTTCTGCTTGCTACTCTTCGGCAATAGCAGGTTCACCTTCCTGGAGAATGTCTATAATGTTGGTCCTGATAAACTTGGGAAGATTTGCAGTTTGCAGTCGAGATCGCATGTATGGAGAAACAAGTTCCTTGGCTAACTCTTTGAGCCAAGTTCTTCTCATCCAGCGCTGATCTCCTTTTTCATTGTACGATGATATGCCAAAACTATTGACCCCAACCACATCCAGAAGATGAAAAAAGGCTGAAAGGGGCCATCTGTTGGTTTTCCTGGCTGTTGAGTATGTGCCACACATCTCATCTACTACATCAACCCTTTGTGCAATTGTAAAATGTGATAATCTCTGGTTTTCGGGCGGCACTACTATCAAGATCGATTGTTTTACCATGGTGCATAGTCGATAACGGAACAACAAACTTGCCCTTTTTTGGTACATATGATATCAGCGTTGTACTATTTTTTCCAAAACCAAAAACAAACGAGCTTACCTCACGTCTTTGCTTTTTATAAAGCAAGTAGGTAGCTGAGGTTTGGTTTTTCTGATGGTTCCTACTTACTTAGATACCAAAATGCCGGTAATAAACAATAGAACCAAAAATAGTCGCAAAATAATATGACACCGAAAACAGTCGCTGCGTGTCACGGTGACCCGCAAGAGCTCCGTTCAAGTAGACAGCTCAATGTAAACAAAGCAACATGTACTGAGGTTTGTAGATAAGTAGTTCATAGGAAGGTACCTAAGAGGCGAGTGATGTATCTTAACTAATACGGGAGAGGCAGGGCGTAGAAAATATGTGCGGGTCAGATTGATCCGCAGCTACCGCTGTAGGGTTAAGCATGTTATATAAAAATACACAAGCAGCGTAGTTTCTGCGCTTCTCCAAGTTACAGAGGTTATATCTGCTAAGTAATACATCATGCCTGAACCCAACTTCTGGATACGTACCATCTTCCTTGTGTCACAAATATTTCACAAACCGCCTCTGAATACGTTCAATTTTATGCGAGTGAACTTTATGAACAGGATACCATATTATAGAGCAGTATTCAATTTTGGATCGAACAAATGAATTATATAACGAGATCATGGTATGCACATTATTGAAGTACCTACAATTTCTGATAATGAGGCCCAAACTTTTATAGGCCTTGCTAACAACAGCACCAATATGCGAAACAAATGTAAGTTTGCCGATATATAGGTGTTGCTGTAATTGTTGTCCTTGATGTAATTAATGTATGACGGTATATTGAAATCTCCTAGGAAAATAACATTGTCAGTGTTGAGAAAGTCCAGCGAAAACAGTTGTTCTATCAGAGATTCATATGTAGCAACTGACAAGCTAGGTGGCACATAAAGAAGGACAATGGAAACGACTGACCGAGGCAAGTGGACCTTGACCCCAATGATAACAATTGCAGAGAGTGAGTTTGTAAAGTTGAAATCCAGACCTTTCACTTTATAGACCTTCCGGCCAATAGCACACCTCCACCTTCAAGTTCAGCATCATAAATACTGTCGTCCAGCCAAGTCTCGCTCAGAGCAAGTATATCGTACGTACACGTATAAGTTGTATTCAGAAGTACATTTGTTTTTGTTCTTAAACCCTTAACATTCTGATAATATACTGCAAAGTCCGCTTCATGATCAGAATCATCCATAACAGTGTTTCCAATGACATTGCTTGATTGCTATTCCGTACCCAGAAGTAGCTTTTTATATTCATTTAACTTCAATTCATAATAGCAGCACTTATCTGTAGCCCAAACAGCATTATCAACATTAGTATTTGTATCAGATTCACAATTCACACATTTTAGCTGATTAGAACTACATTCAGAAACCTTATGACCACCGGCACACTTAATACAAACTTGATCAGATTTCCTACAGTCTTTTACATAATGACCTAGTCCACAACATTTGTAGCAGATTTTCAAATTCGATGCATCATACACAACGCAGTTATTAACATTCGCTAGAACACTAGCTTGATCTAACAGGTGCGAATACGCGACAGGATCCAATTCCAAAAGAGCCTGGTGAACATCCTGACGTTTTTTTGTCGGCCACACCTTAAGAATCCTAAAGTCACTTGATTTATCAAGGATACGATTTTGGGATTTCAATATAGTGACTAATCTGTCGTTATCGATATTATCGGACAATCCTACGATACTCACGCGCGGGTTGTGTTTCTTTACTTCCTTGACCTCATATTCGTCTTCTGATAAATGCCGAGAAGCCAGCTCCTTCAATTTATTTGCATGGTCAGGATCGTCGCATTTTATTACCAAGCCCACGTTCCTCACATTTTTCACTTGAGAAAATTTTATATCGTTTTCAAGTGGATTAACATTTTGACGAACAATATTTCTTGTTTCAATATTCGATTGATTAGTATTCTTCGGCTTGATGATAACATTAAAATTCTTTTTAACAACTGATGCATAAGACGGAACCGCCTTACGAGTGGTTTGTTCCACGTCTTCTTGAACCTTGCTTATGAGTGTAGATCGTGCCTTGGAAAATATGTCACGAATCCCATTTATAAGTTCCTCTACTTTGGCTTCTAGTATATTCTTCATGAAATTCTCATAATCTTTTTTATTTTGGCTACAATTGGGGCAGTACCAAAAAAGACCAGGCATTTTTAGCACTTTCAGTAAGTCAGCTGACACATCAGCACAAGAAATATGGTAATTTTGCCCACAAAAACCATTGCAAGAAATAGCTTGTTCGGTTCATCCTATCGCTGTATTGCAATCAGGACAATTATTATTTGCCATGATTTCTACAGAAACGGTACAGTTGCTGATGTTACAAACTCACCAACATTTAAAGGTGCATGAGCTGCTTCACCTCATCAAAGAATATATTTTTCACTTGGCAAAAGCCAATAGTAAATGAAGGTTAAAACAGAGAGCGACGAGAACATGTTACACATACACAGCCGAGTTGTATTGTTGATTATGGGTATAATGCTGTCCTGATCAAAATACTGCTATGAGATTCCATGGAGCTTGTAGGCCATGAGAGTCCTACGGTAGCATACTATGTATACGATTTTCGATCGTTCGAGGGGCGTGATCCCATCGTCATTCGCCGTTGGCACAAAGCACCATGTTCCAGGAGTCGTGATCATGTCACGCTTTTCCACGGTATTTGGTAACAGTCCTGGTTTGTGATTTAGAAATATTAGTTACCAAATCACGGTTCGTCAAATATATGCCACCACCCAGATCCTAAAAATTGGGTAATCTTAAATAAAATTAATAGTAGAACAAGGACTGTTCATGAAAAAATTTCAGTATGCTACTTTTCAACCTTGCGACAAAATCGTTGAGCGTATTATATTTTCTCTCCACTTGAGTCTCGTGGCGCATAGTTCGTCGTTAGAGCATTTTTCATTGTATCTACTAATTTCAGCAAATAATGGAAAATAATGTAAGTCTATATTAAGTTTCACGTGATTTTCACGATATCTGATAAAATTTATTACTTGTAAGTAACCTCGCGTTTCTTCGAATCAAATGTCTTACCTAACAAAACGTACAATTTGGCAATACTGCACAGTATTCGTTATATCGGTTAGGAAATATTGTTAATTGGGGATAGTTTCCCTTTTCATACAATTCCTTATCAACGCAAAAACTTTAATATGCAAAAAAGTGTCAAGAAACACATACTGAAAAAATATAACATAACACCTTTACATAGTTTCTAACATGAGAACTAATACTTACAGTATGCATTTGAACAGCGATTTTAGCTTATTACCCGTCTAGTTTCGAAACTTTTTCTTCACAAACATCGATTTCTCATGGTTTCACATATATCTTCCTAAAAAAAATGAGGTCAAGTAAGTTAACCCTGTGGTTCCCACACTACCCTGCCATGAGTCCTTAAAGGATTATATTTCGCACAACTTACTCCTTCTGAAGTTAGCCACGGATATGTATAACAAAAGTCCAAATGACCTTACCCCTCCCCCTGAGAGGGACTGCTGTAGGTGCACATGATCGTTGCGATGACCAATGAATGTATGCCTTCACCATGCACATTACACACGGACCACCCTAGTGAGGAAGCGATTGCCGACTGTGACGTACGATCACATACGACGAAGCTTGTCTATAGGAGAACGACGTCGCACGAATCGACACCCCACTCTAGGAGAAATTTTTAAGTTTTAGAGGTAGATGTACGAGGTCATCTATGAACAATGAAATATTCCTCCATGTGCGTAGAATTACAAGAGTTGGAGACGTGTAAATATACCAACATTAAAAGATTGAGATATACCCTCGTCCACCTCCTGCAACCACTGGCCCCCAATTTTTCAATCCTACAGAGGGTTTCCCGAAAATGATCAGAATCAGAACAAAGCCTTTGCGTTCTTGGTATAGTAGTAGCATTGTTCAGACAGGCAGAACCGACAGACCGACAGACCAACAGACAGACCGACCGATCGACGGAAATGAGTGCCATGAATTTTTGTGATACTCAGTTGATATTATTCCAAATGACATAGCAAGTAGAACAATAAATTTACAAAGCGATGTTAACAATTTGTTACAATATCCTTCTAATCACAATCTGAAAATAAATAAAGAAAAATCCAAAATATTATTGTTTTGAAATGAAAAAAAAAAGAAAAAATGCTGCTTACTGAATATCAAACTTCGTAAAAAACTAGGCGCGAGTTTAGTCGTATCTGTCCTAAATTAATGTGATTTTTTCTATTTACAAAAAACATTTCCCAAATCACTCAAAATAATTGTGTATTTGACCATCTGTCCACCAATTATCAAATATTGGAATAGATGGAATTTGAGAATTTGGTAAACTACCACTATATAATTGTCATGCATAAATGGGTGCACACGTCAAAGCTCTTATACCTCAGAGAAAAAATTGCTTAAAGTGAGGATGCGCACACTAGACCGTTAGAATACAAAAATATAAGAGTTCTACCGCACAAAACAGCATTTTTTGAAAGTTTTTCGCAAAACTCAGCTACCAGGTATATCTCAATGTCTGAAGTGTCTAAGACATATTCTATGTCTACATTCTGCAAGAAAATTATACTGATTATATATTCACTATCCACTTAATTTTATAATTTCTATATAAAATTCTAATATAGGGATAATAATAATAATAATAATAGTAGGAAAATAATTGGCAAAATCCGCAAAAAAGAGGAAAGTGGATTCGAGCAGAAAATAGGATAGGTAACCCGAGCGATACGTATTTCTGCTGGTTGGCTTCATCAGGCCCGAAATGAATTCACATAGGCAACTACAAAAGTAGGTATGCATGCCCATACACCCCGATACGGGTGTAACCTGAGGAAACAAAGATGGAGAGGGAAAAAAATCGCACACGAAGTCCACAACAAGAGCCAACCTACACATTGTAGTATAAAATGGCCAGAAGACCTCGAATTTTCAAGGCGACATCTAACCACAACTACACATTATTTTCCTATTTTTTGTTATATACCTTTCGCCGCATGCTCATTTTCTCTTTGTAGATCCTTTGGGATTGAAGTACCACAGCAAGTGACTATAACCGGCCGCGTGGTTGAGGTTAGATGTCGCCTTGAAAATTCGACGCCTTCTGGCCATTTTAAACTACAATGTGTAGGTTGGCTCTTGTTGTGGACTTGGTGTGTGATCTTTTTCCCTCTCCATCTTCGTTTCCCCAGGAATTATTTTATTATTGATGGCCGTCCAAATCGAACCTCATCGGTCCAATTTTTTATTCGTCGACTATGTGTTCCCTTCACTGTTGTTTAAAAACAATTTCAGCAACAATCTCGCCGACATAGTAAGTAACTATTTTCCCGCCCAATTGTTAATTGTTGCTATTGTCAATAATTGTTTCAAACTCCAGACGATGAAGACATAGATCTTCGAAAGCTTGAGTTTAAGTTATAAGAGTGTACATTTGCAATACTTTGGCCTTCGACCCAAAGAAATTGAAGGATATTTTCTCGTAACAGTTAAGGCATTTAACTACGAATACCATATATATATATATATATATAGATTTTTTACGATTCTTCTAATTTCTCCCGAAAAAAAAAAACAAGAATTTCAGTATATATACGTATGTATGCTTCGAACCGGTCTTTACGCTTTTTGGACTTCGCACGTTACGTTAGGTCCTATTCTGATGTTACCATTTTTGGTAAGCTGAAGAAAAAATCACTAAGTCTGGGAAAATAACTTTTTTAGATATCAATTTTCAACTTATGCGAAAGCAATGAGGCGAAAAACTACAAGAAAGATTATTTCAGACGCAATTATCTCAAAGCTATTTATTTGGGCCTAAATTAGGAGTCTGAGGTACAGACATATAATCAGTATTCTGGGCAAACAAATATCTAGAATTGTTCAACATTCCACAACAATGCATCTGACCGACTGACAGACCCCTGCCCCTGATTTGGTACAGCGCTGCCCGCCCGCAACTGCAGCTTTTCGAATTCCTTCTTTCTGTTTTCACCATCGGCAAAATAGTTGCGAATCCCGGCAAGACCACGAATCGGCTGCTTCACCCACAACAATTCAGGACTGTCAAAGGAAAAACTTCGAACGCATTTCAACCTGCGCTTAACCGAGTCAGATAGAGAAGCTTATACTGCGGTAAAATTGAGTGAAACACTGCAAAAAATGAATGAAGGAGAAGGAGGCACAGATGGACGGATTAGATATACAGTGACATTAGAAGTGTTACATCCAGATATCCAGAAATAATTACTGCAATTTTGGCAATGAGGTAGTCTTATGTCAACAATAAAATGATAAGATCCTCACGAAATTTTATTGACAAGTAACGAGGAAAAAGTTAATGATGTGTTGGGCTCCTGTAGCTGAATACGCACCTGTATACATCTAGGCATCGACAAAATGAGATGATCGATGCCTGGTTGTGGCACTTCATTCCAAGCAGCTCGAGCTTCATAGATTAGCTGTGGCAGAGTCTGTGGCGGATGGTGCAAAGTGGATAGTCTCCCCCTCGCCATATCCCACAAATCTTCGATAGGATTTAGGTCCGGTGAACAAGATGGCCACATCAAAACATTAACACCTGTTTACTTGAAGAAAGTTCGTAGTACCATGGGCAATATGAAGACGTGCGTTGTCTTGCTGAAAAAGGACGGCCTTCTAGATACAGTGGTTTGTAGGAAATCATCAACATAACGCGTAACAGTCATATTGCTTTGAACAAAGGGAAGGGGTACCTAGACAGAATCACGATTTGTCGCTGAATATGTCATTATGTCATTCTGACATTCTGATTCCAAATGTTGCCGTTCTCTGCTCCATTTCAAACGTTGACGACAATAGCCCGCAGTCAGTTGAAGCACTAACCGTGAACCGTACGGAAAAAGTCCAAAGGCTCGAATGCGGCGATAGAGTGTACGCATAGTAACAGATCTTCCTTCTTCTTGGAACCATTAGTCAGCGATCTGACGCACAGTAGCAAAACGGTCTCGTAGGGATAGTTGTCTGAAGTACCTATCTTGGTACTCTGTGGCACGCCTCGGTGGCCCAGTTGACCTTCTACGTATTCCTCTACCTCTTTCAATCCACACACGACACACACTCATTACCGTCATAGCGGTACAATTAACACAGCGTCCAATTTCGCGATAAGACGAATCAACGTCTCGATAGCCAATAATTCTACCCCTGTCAAAGTCGCTAACATGGTGCCAATTTGGACGTCTTCGAACACATTTTGTTATGCTTATCACTAGTCAATGAAAGGGCAATAATTAAAAGTATCGGTACTACCCAGCACGCAAAAACTGCTTTCTTCACAAAGACCAAGAGATAACATTTTAATGGAGGTAAACAAAAACAAAGATAAAACGTTGACATTGTTGCCACAGTATGCTTTAAATATAGCCACTATCTTGCAAAAAGGAAACAAGCTGAAGAAATTATTTTTCCTGGGTGTAGCGCTTCTAATGTCGGTGAGTATACAAGGTGTCTCTTAAAACAGTGTCGATACTTCTAAAGTATAAGGTAAAACATGTTTTTCGAACCAATGTAAGTAGATATTAATTACCCTTTACTGCCGTCAGCTCTTGAAACAGGTTCTAAGACATTTCACATTGTGCTAAAAGTGTGTACACCAGTGATGCTTTTGATTAAAAGATAAATGTTCTTTAGAAAGCACATTGCCGAGACGTAATTGCCTTGCTGATGTCCTGTATATGGTCTGAGTGCAGCATGGAGAAGGACAGACTCGAGTCTTCCTGAAAGAAAAATTCACTAATTACCTCAAGTACTCAATATTGGAATATTTTGTAAACGAGGTAATCCAACTGGAATTAAATGCCCCAATAAAAACGCATTAGATACGTTAAAAAATACACTGGCATAAAATGTTGGAAATGTAGCTGCTGAAGCTCAGTACAAATATGACTTTAGCTTAATACCCTATGTGAAATGAAGTTTTTCTTCTTATATTTGCTTAGCTTCTCGGTCTCTGAAGTATGTCACTATTTCTATTCTGTGTGATAATGATAATGATAACGATAATGATATCGATAACGATAACGATAACGGTAACGATAACGATAACGATAACGATAACGATAACGATAACGATAACGATAACGATAACGATAACGATAACGATAACGATAACGATAACGATAACGATAACGATAACGATAACGATAACGATAACGATAACGATAACGATAACGATAACGATAACGATAGCGATAACGATAACGATATCGATAACGATAACGATAACGATAACGATAACGATAACGATAACGATAACGATAACGATAACGATAACGATAACGATAGCGATAACGATAACGATAACGATAACGATAACGATAACGATAACGATAACGATAACGACAACGACAACGACAACGATGAATTTAACGATAACGATAACGATAACGATAACGATAACGATAACGATAACGATAACGATAACGATAACGATAACGATAACGATAACGATAACGGTAACGATAACGATAACGATAACGATAACGATAACGATAACGATAACGATAACGATAACGATAACGATAACGATAACGATAACGATAACGAT